GAGATTTTTAATCTTCATGGCACCTTCTAGTTAATTAAAAAAATGAAGACATGACATAAGCATGTTTATATACATACATCAATCTTAATTTGTATAGTTAATTAACTATGAAGCACTTTGTAAAGAAACATGCTAATTATTTATAAAGGTTATTCAAGTAAGGGTTATTGTGAAAAGAAAAGCCTTGGTTTTCTGTTGGAAATAAAAGTGATGTTTTTTAGCTTCTTGTTTGGATCCATTTAACAGTTTCATGTACAAAATGATCCAGTAACCTTCATAGTGTTGTCACACCTTAAGTAGCCTACAGTTCACTGAATTAAACATCATCATGCACGCCCTGGAAACTAATTTAAATGAAAGTATGGCTTATTGCTTTATCGTATCATCGTAATAGAGGAGGACATGTTTTTTTTTGTGACTGTCAGCACAGCTGATTCAAGTTTAAAGATCCGTGTCAGCTTGCAGCAGGACGATATTGGTTTTTAAGCCACCCTGAGACAGTTTATTGTCACTTTTCAAAACACTTTACATTAGCTTTACACAAGTCTGGTTTTCTGGTTAGAAACATTCCTCTTTGTGTTGGAAAACAAGTAATTTGCTTTTCAGGGGTTTATCGCAACCATCGCATTTTCTTACACTAAAAAAGCTTGAGTTTCATCCGTGTGCTGACCTAATTTTCATGGCAGGGCCAAAATCTTTGAATGGAATTTTTTGTGTGTACACTCAGCTGTCCCTTGGATGTCGTTGGCATGTCTCCGAAGCAATTTTCTCAACCATGAATAATTCACCAGATATTATTCCAAAGGTCATCTTATAGTAATTAGTACCCTGCTGTTGACTAAACAGCCTCAAGGTACCTGATGGCCAGTTTAATTACAATTTGAAATGAGCGTACTGTTTGACAATCTCTATATGTTCTCTTGACACTTCAACAGATGACACCTTGAGAACTAAGTAGGCTTACAATAAGTTGGCTTGTTAGCACATGGAGAAAAGGTGTGTGTTTGTGTGTGTGTGTGTGTGTGTGTGTTGAGGGAACAACAACACCATGTCCTTTCTGTTCAAATATGCAGCAATTACTGGAAATGCAGATTGGTGTAGCAGGGTATGCATGTGTTTTGACAGCGTGGACATCCTCTGCACTGTCACTGTCTCATTATTAACCAACTACCATGGAAAACTAATGGGCCAGGTCACAGCCGGCTCTCTTAAGGAGATTGGGGACTAAACATATGCTGAAGATGCCGCAAGATGACACAGTCCAGCGAGCCTTTGGCGCGTTGCGAGGGACATGACACGGCTCTCTGTGTCATACAAGTTAGAAGTCGGTAGCAAGAGATCCTGTCATGTCTTGTTGTCCTGAACATCAACCCCGCTGCCCTATATTGTACGTTTCCTCTCTGAGGGCTTGTGTGTATTCACAAGAGAACAGTGGATGAAGTAAAAAGGCAAAAGGGTGTCAGGTATAGCCCAGGGGGAGGCTGTGTGAGTTGTTGCAGAGTTTGCCTTAAGGGTATTAAAGCTCAAGGTTGGATGGATACATGGACTGTTGGATAGATGGAAACATGGATGGATGAATGCATATATGCACAATATAGAAATGACAAAAAAAATGTATCCTCTTGATTGTTGTATATGAGGCTAAATGGCCACAGGTAATGTAGACAGCCTCTGGGCATCACTAAAGATGATGATGCACAGTGAGTTTAAAGAAATTAAAGTAGTCATTCTGAACAGCAACAGCACTTAAATAAAATAAATACCTCATTCTTCCTCATCTGACTTCAACTTACATTTATTTCTTGGCCCCAGACAAAAAGACTAAAATCAAGCTTAATTGTGTTCTATTGATTTCCCTCTGAAATTTATAGACCACTTCCTTAAGTCTTTGGTCTATGCGGATATGATAATGGCCGGCAGTCTAATGAGTGGGGGAGTGACCTTGTGACGAGCAAATCAAAAATGTGGGAATGATCGATGAGTGATCTGCCCTTCCTAAACAAAAACCATCAGAGTGCCCATTTACACTGAAATGGCCCAAATCCATTGTGTTTGTACTGCTAGATTTCGTCATATTTTTCTACAAAACAAGGCATTTAAATTCAAGATTTCCATGCAGCATTTTAACAGTTTCTTAAGTGGTGTGAAAATGCATGTCGGTAATTGCAGCTGTTCACATAAAGTGGGATGGAAGATAACATTGTAATGGTTACAGCTGGCACATGTCATGATAAATTACACATTATGTTGCCATAATCAATAATTTCAACTAACAATGGATCACATGACTAATTGCATGGAGCAGCAGTTGCTGTCGATAAAAACCCACAGGAAATGATCGCCTGGTTCTGCAGCTTCCTTTTGCTCTACAGATATCTAAAGTGTCTTTTAGCTCAGTTGTTTCCCAGTATAGGACGGGAAACGTAATGTACAACACAGTAAAAGGACATAGTTAGCATCTATAGCTGGTACATGTAGTGGAGTTTTAACTAGCTGAAGATGAAGATTTTTCAACTGCTCATCTGTTTCATTCAGTTAATGTTTGACTTTCATCCACCAGGTGGCCGAGACTGTCTTCCAAAAATGAATGCTTATGTTATTGTGTGTCTGTTGGATCTGGAAGTTCAGCATATCAACATTATAAGCTGACTTGTATGCACAAAAGTGTGTTTTGGGTGTAGCATGAATGAAATCAATCAGAGAGTCAGCTCTCATTACCTTTGAGAGCCAGGTGTCTGCATGCTGCCGTGTTGGTATTAGCAGAATTCAGTCTTTATTCTTTGAAAGACCGGGCTCTGGCTGGCTAATCTAATGTCTCTCCATACATTGTGCCCCTGAAACACACAGAACACGCACAGGACATTGTATGAGATATGTCAATAGATGACTGATTATATTTTGCTGAACATTGCTACAACATCAGTTAGACACGTTGAATATTTTTGCATGATGCATAAAAGCTTCAATAATTATTAAATCTCCATACACCCGACAGGATAAGGCATGATCTCATAACTAATGCTCACCATTGTATAACGGTAGGCTTTAAACGTTCATTTACTTATTTTCTCTGCTGGAATCCTCTGCTATATTCTCTAGCACATGCATGATCAACAACATATAATCTGTATTAATATCTTTGGGCTCAAGCGTCGTTGGCACTCATTGCCATTTACAAGAATTTGTATGTATCCAACTCTCTGATACATGAGCATGTGTGAGTATATGTGCTTCTGTGTGTTTCTGATTGTATTAGACAGAATGCGCACTGGAGTAAGTGGCCTTGTGCAGCACTGGCAGGACTCTCCCTCAGGTGTAGCAGACATCCAAGAGTAGCCTTAGGGAGTGCGATATGATATCAGATTGTGAAGAATTAGAATGTGACCATTATCTGACAATCGTACAATCAGGTTCAACGACCCAGCGTTGAGCCTGGCCACACCTAATTTTTAAGACAAACCCTGGGGACTTTTTTGGGGCACAAATTTACCAGCTATTTGAGACTGGGTGAGAAAATGACAACTGTGTCAGGTAGAAAATAGGTGCTGTAACACACCTGGAGTACGATATGGCCGTATGCCAGTGTTACATTGAGGTTTTTTATCTTCTTCTGGCCCTAGTGGCAAAAAACATTTAGTGAAGTCCTGGATAATTCACAATCTTGAATCATGGACTTTAGGCATCCATTTCTTCTACATTTCTGACCCACACTATTTGTTCTTTGAGTTTATTTATTGAGAATGTTGGAAAAATTCAATTTGCATACATTTTATATAATGATGCCCTAGAGGAAGAAAAAGAAAAGCATTTGTTTAGGGAGTCATTTAATGTTGTCATTATTTAACCACACTCAGGGGCAGTTCAAGGCAATGGCCACCCTTGAAATCTGATGGGCCATCCCAAAATCCTTACCTGTGATTGACTACGTTCCTTGTCAGAGGCAGGACTTGTGTAAAATCAACTATTTGGGCTGTGTTGCAAGAGGCTGCTTGTCGCTTTCAAGCATTTCAGTGTGGCAAGTTTCCTTCTGTTAGTACTTTGTGACAGTTGACATACATCTTTGACTCCATTAAGAGTTAAGTTTATATGTTGCCATTCTCCATGTTATTTTTTATAGTGATATAATTCAACTATAACATATGTATTCTGCACCTGATTACACTGACAAATGATTATTGGAAGAGCAGTGACAAGAACTTTGTAGCGTCCAAAGGTAAGTGGCAGATGACAACTAATAGACTATTTCTTCCCTTTTTTTGTCCCCTAGACATGTCAATGCAACATGGCCAACTCCATGGATGAGACCAGCTCCCCTGTAAATATAAAGAGCATATCCTAAGGTAAGAAAAAACAAACAAAACACTTTGTCTTTTCAGGTGATTATGCACACAGTGAAACATACTTATGAGTGCTATTTTTTCATTTCTGCCAAAAAAGATTGCACATGGATTTCTAATCTTACAAACGGAACCAATTACCACAAAAGGGCGTTATCTCCCTCGTTTGCAGGACATACAAGGCAACAGATTTACTAATATGTTTGCTACAAAAGCAAAAAGGTACTACATGTATTTGTCTCTTAATATCCTCTTTAAAAAAAGTCACAAAGCATGTTTAACCATTAGCTGCCTTCTAACTGAACAATGATACAGTGGGAGGAAATGGCTCAGTACTTTAGTTGAAGTGTAAAAGTAAAACTGTTTAATGAGCCTGCTCTCCATGGCATTTCCGTGTTTAATAAGGGTTCCATTTTTTCCCCATAAATATACAACTATATGTCATAGGTTGAATTGCTTCCCTGGGGGTATTCATTTCCACAAATGATGAAGGTGAAATGCCTTGTCCAATTTGATGGGCCTTATATCATTACCTTGTAATTGCCATAATTGGAATACAGCGACAGTATGCTCTCACGTCACATCTATCACTCATACGACAATGCTCTCAGAATAACCCAACAGCACAACAGTGTAGAGTGAAGGACAAGCATGATCCATGGATACTTTGAGGACTCAATATTTAATGGTTCAAGTAAAATTCAATGACAAGAAAAATCATTTCACCATATGGAAGGTCATTTTTTTCATATATTTCAATGGGATATCTTACAAAGGCATGACAACACAGGCTGTATAGCTTTAACTGACCAATACAGATTTTCTGGCAAGCATTGAAGCCTTCTCTCAAAGCGAAACCTCACTCCACCTCACTTACTGGTGACTATGTTACAAGCATATACTTAAGTCTTATATTTTGATATACTTTTTGTACAAGATAACATTTCTGTACATAAAACATTCTGGCAAGGTGCATGCCAGGATACACAAACACACTCACCATCTCACTCATGCAAGGAAACACACACACACACACACACACACACACACACACACACACACACACACACACACACACACACTCTTTCTCACAGTCATACAAGTTCACCTATAAACACATTCAGACACACTCTCATCAACATAATGCATATGTATCCATTTACATTACCACAGAGATTGTCATCTCATTAACCAACTTGTTTTCCTTTTTTTTTTTTTTGCTTTTTATAACTTTGCAAATTCCAGTAATTAGCCTGTAGCCATTAGACTCTTCTGTATGAGTCTTTCCAGTTTGGAACCATTGTTGTACCTTTTTAGGGGAACTGCTATATACAGTTTAAAATCCAGTTGACCTGTCAGTTAAAATATTTGAGTGTATGTAGAGGCATAAGTGGTACGCACGCTTCCACAAAGTTTGAATGTGTACACTGTGTAACATTTGTTTTGTTCCATAAGACAGACAAACAGGTAGAGCAGTAAACATCAACACTGGCACTGAATCTAACGATGGATGCATGAACTACACAGTCAAGTGTCATAAATGCCTTCTGAAAAGTCCAGACAGTTCATGCAAATTATGGAAATCATGACACACATTTGGAATAGTAAACGCCTGATAAAAAAATAAATAAAAGCAAGTCTTCAGCTTTCTGGTAACTATCATTACTCTTCGGGCAGAAGGAATTAGAATAGTATGGAAAATAACAGTGAGAGCAGAATCATGCAAAGTAAAAAACACCTATCACCCTTTTCATTTTGTCCTTCCAAATACGGGGTTTGTAAAAGATTAAAAAAAAACTAAACCAAACTCACATGGGTATGCTGTTTGTCTGAAAATCAAATAAATAAAACAACACTAGCTTAGCCTCTCAGGGCAAATCAAAATGAAAAGAAAAACAGGACTGCCGTCAACAAAAAAAGTCATGTTAGTATAAAAAGAAAGCAACATCCTACTGATACATTCATGCAGTTCTTAAACTATTCCCTCCAGAAGTTGTTTTCAATTAATGCAGCAGCTGCAACATTACAGTACATCAGAGTTATATGAGCATAGAAAGTTCAAACACAGTGTGGGTTACAGGTAATATTGTGCTTACTGTACACATGTGATTGTATGAAATATTTCAAACAACCACATTCCTATTTACGTGTGACAGTGTAAAATCCCATATATGTCCTGAAAATGTATTAAGTAGAGAAGGTCAAACATCCCACTTCAGCTGCAGGTAGTGGCTTTACCTTTTTAATGGCATCATTCTTCAAAAAACAAAAACATATCGTGTTGTTTAGAATTGTGTCTTTGCTAAAAACATGGAATACTTTCCCTCCTTTTTCTCTCGACTTTTAAAGTTGGATTTAACAATTTCAATGCATTTTCATTGTCATCATAATGTGTGTTCCCTTTGATATTTGATCCTTTGATGAAATATGAATTGTTTATATCAGTTGCTTTCTACCATAATAATGGAATGAGATGAAGTGATAGATGAAAAGAAAAAAACTCTTCCAGTATGTGAGATTAAATTGTATTTCCAAACAGTGAACATTTCATCTACCGGTGTGTATAGTGGGGTTTGTCTAAGTTGCTTGTTTTGAATTAATTTCATTTTCGTAATTGACTGAGGTGAAATTGAATTGCTCCTTTTCCGTGTCCTTGACAGAGTGTTCCTTAATTTCTCTGAGTCTCAGATAAATCCTCTATATCATGATAAGAGTCCTGACCCTAAGTATCTGGGAGAATAGGTGTGGTAAGAGCATGCAAACACAATTTGCCTCGCACCTTCCCCAGAGAACGCCACAATGCATTATAGATTTAGGCCTGTTCCCAATTTGCAAGATGGTACAAGAAAATGAATCGCATGAATCATATAGCTTCTGATGTAGACACGGGGCTGGGATGTTACTGGAAAGAAAAATGGATATCAGCAAAGTCACTTATTGCTGTAGCAATAGATTATACTGGGCCCAATCTGTTACAGAAGCAAGTTAGTCTGAAGCGGTTATCATCATCATCAGGGTGTTGTACACATACAGGCAGTGAAGCAGTGTGTGTATGATAAAAAACCATGGTGAGGGGCAGCCTGCAGGGAGGTCCTTTCAAACAGTGCCAATGCCTATTCTAATGATAACTGCAAAAATAACATTAACATTAATAATTTAGTTAGACTCGGAGCCCTGCAGAAATTCTTGCACCCTGGCCTTTTATTTCAGTGTCAGTGGTAAAAAATGAAAACTGAAACTTTGCAGCCAAACTGATTTGCATAAACTCACACGAAAGTAAACAAAGCAAGAACAATATGGGTTATTAATGATATAATGGGAGTAGAGAGAGTGTATAAAGCGCTGTAACTGAGTCACCTTTTCTTTGTCTTTGTACATGCACGTATGCATGTTTTTTTTTTACTAGCAAGAAGAACCAATCCAGACCTCCAAACCACAATAAGGATCGCTACAGAGATCACACATCAAAGAAATTAGATTTAGAGTTTCATAATTGGCTTCATTGCTGCTATCGTGCGAGAGTTTCTAAGCAGCAAAATGTGAGCAATAGAAACAAAGAAGGGGAAACAAAGGGTAAGTTTCTACAGCGCATCTGTCTACGCCTTTCAAGGCTAAGCTACAGAGATACTGAATGAACATTTTCTTAATAGAGTTGGCAGAGATGGAACAACCACCATATGGAACCCATCTTTCTTGGGTACTCGTGTGCGAGTGCAGTAGATAGTGTTGTTTTCGTGTTTAATTTGTGTACTTGTCCATAGTGAGAATGTAAAATGCAAAAGATTACAGGTGTTGTCTACCATTGGCCTAGATATGCTTTTAGACTCTTTTTTTTCCTCATCCTTCTGCAGTCCCCTGACCAAAAAAAGACTTCTGAAATGTGTTCAGGCAAGACTAAAGAACCATCTTTCACCACCAAAGGAGTTTGTGCTGCGTGTTATATAGAGCAATATTTCACTAGAACATGAACAGAAACACATCCACCCAGAGCTCATAATTAACATTTAGCCCAATTTAGCTCACTCCACACAAAGCACTGTATTTGCATGTTTTCTGCATGTGGAAATTATCTTTTAGGACATGGTTTCACTAAGCTGGGTCCAAAGAAGGAAAAGTGTACATTGCCTTTTCATGTCACTAAGCAAACATCAAAAAACTCAAGCAAAATGTATCTTCTTCAGTGACAGAACTACTTTGGTATAGAACTACCATTATTCATTATACATGGGCCTGCTGTGTTAAGAGCCATACATTTCCTTTTAAATGCTTTAGCTGTCAGACTGATCCATTGTGATTTTGTCTGAGCATCATCACAGTGGTGGAATCCATTCTCAGACGTCTTCATTAATGAAACAGAGCTGGAGCTGGTCAAAGTAATTCAAATGATGCATACCCCCGCAAGCAGACATACTGAGCATAAAGTCACTGACAAAAAGCCGTCTATGGATCAAGTTCACAATTATGTCGGGGTCAATGAAGGTCTGTCTTTTTACTCTTACAGCTGGTGCTCATGTAAGAAAGACCCGCTGCCTACTCCAGTGGGCGTGTGCTGCCCGGGGGCAGAGAAGCTCGCCAGGGGGATGACCTTGACGGGGTCCTCCTTCTTACTGGAGTGTCTATCCAGGGTGTTGTAGAACTGCGGCCGGTTCATCCCTTTGTCCAGGTCTTCTTTTTTGGGCACAGACCTGCCCAGCGTATGGCGACCATCCATGACCCCCATGCAGCCCATGTTAGCTTTGGCCCCCCTGGAAAAGCTCTGCTGGAAGCCAAAAGAGGACATTGTAGCTGTGATGGCGGCGGTGGTCGGGGTGGTGCTGGGGCTGTTGCTACCAGACCCTTGGAACTGGGCCAGGGCTGGGGGCATCCAGCAGCTGTCGGAGTGGCCCAGTATCAGACACTCCTGGGTGCAGGTCTCAGAGGCCTCTGCCAAAGCTTTCTGCAGGTTCACCTCTATGGCTGTAAATAAAAGAGAAGAAGACAGAAGAAAAACAACATGGTTAATCCAACAGTTCGGGAAATACAGAGAGTAAAGTGAGAAAGTAATTATTTTACATGATTGCTGTAAAACAATTGAATGAACTCATAAATCAAAATGTTCACAGAAGGAAATTGTCACCTTATCAGTAGTTGACCCACAAAATGTCAGCCTTTTAGCAAAATGAAAGTCAGAGATAAATGTTTTATTTCATCTTGTAATGAGAAAAACAGCAGCAGAGCATTTAATTTCCATTGGTATTCCCATGCCTCGCTCTGTTTACCTACAATATGCAAGGAATTCCCTGTAGCTTAATTAGAGTTTGAAAAAAAAATGTCTTGCTGTTTGCGTCTTGCATTAGCTTTACTGTGTTAAATATTTAATGAACATCTTAACAAAGTATTGTTTATTTTAATCTCTGTCAGTGTGGCACACCTTAAACCCGTCTGATCTTTGAGAATACAAAATAATACTTGTCAAATAAGAAAACTCAAATACAAAGAGCTGAGAAAAATCCAATCATCTCAGGATCTTGTGAGCATCTTTGGAATATTCAGAGGCAATTAACATACGTGGTTAATTGTGACAGCATTTAGGTTGCGAGTATAGAAGAGGAGGAAAGAAAACCTGAGAATTGAATGAGGGTGCATCTGGCCAAGGGTAAGCACTCAAACTATCTTATCTCATTATCCTGGCACTGACATCACGTGTGGAATGAGTCTGGGATGAGGCCTCAGCATTGAGCCTCAGCAATAAAGCCTGTCAAGCCAGATAATTAGAATGTAAAACAGTGGGCACCAAGGCAACCAGGAGCCTGCAGTGTTATGTTTCCTAGGCCATGCAAAGGAAAGACGGTCCTCATTCAAACATCACATAGCTCCTCAAGCCCTTAGCTTCAAGCTGTCATGTAGAAATTATTTAGTATATTTGCATAAGTAAGAATGCTATAAATAATTAAGCATCCTAAGACCCTGGCACACAGGGACTACTATTCCCTTCGTGCACACAAGTTCTGCTTGCTCTATGTTGTCTGCCGGAATACGCAAACTGTCCTCACCTTGTTTATTGTTCTAGTGCATTTAACACTCATAATGTATAGTTTTCGTCGTCCACACAAGTGATACTAGTCAGATGTCCAAAAAACGATCTAGCTTGTAGTATAACGTCTCAAGGCACTCACTTTTATTTATTTTGTGACACTGCAGATTGAACGGCACAGCGTCATCTTTAATTACGAGCGCAGTGTCTGAAAATGAATCACTGGGTATAAATTGTGAGGATATATTTGGAGGGCCCACGTGGAGTCAAATCTGTCCTCTCCATATTGAACTGGAGCCTTGGAGCAGGAGTGTATAAATCCCCCGGGCGGTAAATGTGTCACCTTTCAGAGGGTCACTAACTTCATTAAGGCAAAAATGGATGCTGCTTTCTCATTCTCTGAGCAAGCACAATAGGGCTGAGCCAAGTCTCAGCCGTGCCCTGACTCAATCTCTCTCTTCAGGCTTTTCTGCTGTTGGTAATGCCTTTTATGTGACACTGTCATTTTTGACGTGGTAATGCTGTTAGTATGTACTTTTTATTCTTCAACTTGCACAAGGACACATCTAAGAAAGTGGCCGTGTTCCCAACAGAAACATTCAAAAGCGCTTCTTTGCCAGATTTCCTGCCTTCCCTCCAAACTTTAAATTATCAGTGCAGCCAAGGGTGAAGCTGTCTTTAACCTAGCGTACTTTCAGGTAGTCTGGAGCTCCGTGACTTCACACAGCTTGAACTCACAGCAGTTCCGTGTCAACAGCCCTCAGTGCCTCCAATTTTTTATAACCAATATTTCACATCCAGCCTTTCTACAAGACATGGGCCTGTACTATTTTCTATTCCGGGGGGAGAGTTTGAAAAAGCGGTGGCGGGTTTGGGAGGGTGGGAGCGCGGTGTGAGTGATGTCGCTGACAGCTCTGGCTGCTTTCGTCAGCTCGAGGTACTCCGCAGCCTGCTTGTGATGCCGCTGTCTTTTGTATTCAGGGGAAACAACTGTACCCTGCGGAGCTTTCGGGAGGAATCACACATCACTGACGCCCCGAATCCCCTGATGCTGAGAACATTCTTTTCTACTTTCCTTCAAGGAAATTTGAATGGCAGACAAGTGGGGATAATGGCAAACAATTGGGTGTAATAGACAGCACGACTCGGATCAGACCTACTGTTCTCATTTGAGATGTTTCATCTTCACGGTGATGCGGTTGAAACAGAACTGTGATTCCTGCTCAGCTCCTCTGTAGAGTTAACAGAACATCTAAAACAAGCTCACCTGCCATCACCCTGCTAAACTGACTGCTGTTGACACCGGAAATGAAGTAGTATTCAAATCATGTTCCCATTCCAAACAGCCTGCGGGTTAATTTGACTGCTCTGTCATAAACTAATCTATTATCCATGGTCCAAGTTGTGTGTTTCTAGACACCCCGCAGCGGCACACTTCTCATTTTCCAGTTGATCTTATGGTCATATGCAAGGTCAATATCAGTGGTACAGCCTACAGCAATCTTGTTCTGCAACATCAACACATCCTTTGGCCAGCGAGAGATCGAACACGGCTGCATCCACCTTCAGCTGACCTTCCGCTTGTGCGGTCAAACATTACAGCTTGTATAAACATTGAACATTAAAAGACAGAGCTGTGAGAATGCTGCATGGCACGCAGTGCACAACAAAAATATGTGTTTTGCACAAAAAGAAAATACTGGATTTCATACAGCGTGCTGTTTGCCTTGACACAAGGTAAGGAGAACATTTTGAAAATGCATCTTTGCAATGTGAGCATGAAATCTTTGAATTTAAAAATATAAAGATGTAAGAATGAAGACTTCCTTATCAAGTCCAACTTATAATACCTATAAAACCCTTTTAGGCTCTGATTTATTTTTACACTTGTAAGTATTTATAGTTCTTAAGTTTTTTTGTTGTTGTAAGCAGGGGACATTGAAAGGAGCATCAGGATCACACACACATCTTTCAGTCTAATGAAGTACACTCCCAAAAACATAAGCCAACTTCTGAAAATGCATCTTTTGTATTGGTTCAATTTACAGCGTACATGTATTCATGCACTTCGGGGATGTCTCCATCAGCGGGCGTGCAGATGATTCACTGATTATAATGTCTTTTTTTAGTGTAGCTTTGATACCGAACCATCCCAGAAAACAAATTCATGCTCTACTTTAAAACAATTAACGGCCCAACAGGGCACACCTGTGCCTGCACTATATTTTTCTATAGCAGTGGTGTATATACTGCAGGAACACTCTGCTTACAGCTGCTGTGTGTGTGTATCACCGTTGCTGTTTTGGATATGAATTCAGGTCGCAATGCTAGAATAATGAGTACACGTTTAACAGGCCCACGCTGCTGCATGCTAATACTTTACAAAGTTGGTAATATAAAGATAATTGGTAACATTTTGTCATCGAGATCATTTTGTAATGATTTGATTTAACTATAATAAACAGTGCGAGGCTCAATCCCGTGAGGATGCTCACATAAGCACAAGTGCTACATAACCCAGCTTGTATGAGGACATTTTGTGTCTTCATTATTTTTATATTTTTCTTTTTCACTGTACTAGTATCAATCTCACTTTCCCCCCTCGATGGTCATTAACTCAACTAATGCACATACATGATTTGACAGGCAGGAACACTCGCACACAGCCAGGATGCACATTAGCCGGCTGATCAGGACCTCTCGGCACAATGGCATGAGATATTTAACATGACACTTGATGATATTTACTGACAGAGCTGGTTACATCTTGATGAGCTTCACATTAAGGTCTGCACACATATCACGGTTCCACTTATTATTTCAGCATGCACAAACTCATTATTGCTAATTAAAAGGATAATTGCATGCATCTAGGCCATTAAAATCCTCATACAGAAATCTGAAAGGTGGACTAGGCCCCTGACTCTTCCTACTGTGGTAATTGGTGCAGTCTTTTCAATTTTTTAGCCTGAAAACTAAACGCAACCAACTCAAGTGTAGTCTAAAGAGGGCTTTATCATGTATTGAAGGATGCCTCCATGTAGACATTGTCATCAGAATATTAAAAATATTTACTTTTAAAGGTTTTATTTATGCAGGCTGCAGTACGGCCCCCTCTGCTGAAATCGTGTAAATCTATATCTTTGATCTATTGGACTGAAGGTTTTTTCTTTGCTTTCTCTTTATTGTCTAGTGTCGTGATACATGGCCTGTCACTATGCTGCATAGTTGTTTTCTTTAAACATTCCCTGCAAAAACTTGAAAGCTCAAAAGTTTCTTTTTTCAACTCACAAAACCTTCACAAAAGTGCAAAAGTTCAAACAAAATCCACAATGTAACTCTGCAGAGAAAAATAAAGCCTTTCTCCACCCAAAGCACACTATCACCTGCAGCCCTGCCCCTCTGAGTGTCAATTAATTTAGACTCAACAGGTTTATTAGGAACAGGAATCAAAAGAAACAAATATGCAAAGAGGCTTACGCTCAGCATGTTGTTTAAAAAATGAAGAACTCGTCTCTTATCGAGAGTTTTTTGAGCCGTCAAGGAGAACTACAAGTGCTGCAGCTATCATGAGTGCAAAAATATGATCATTATTATATTATGCCGTCTGATATGGGCTAAAATGAGATGGAGTGTGGGGGGGGGGGGGAGACACGAAGGGTACATGAGCACGTGTCTCACATCTGGAGGGAGACCAAAAAAGACAGAAACTCAAGAATATGGAGGATTCTTTCAAATAAATAGAATCTCAGTAGAAATAATTGGGTTTGTAATTACCCAGACTTTATCGCTTCTCTCGGCCTTACGCTCACTCCAAACGTACAATCTGGATAAGCAAATGGATGGCCATTAATAATAATAGCACTATTAAAACCCCTTGGTGTTGCACTGAAAAAGAGAGATGCCATTACTTTCATCACAGCTCTGGCAATCATCATTTGAA